AAAAACCCGTGAGTACTTATTTGTAATTTTATTTAAAAAGTTTTTTTTTAAAATTTTATCGTTTCAAAATTTTCGCCGTTTTTTTTTAGGAAAATAAAAAAAGACGACCAGAAGAAGAAAAAGAAGATGATGATAAAAAATTAAAAAAAAAATTAAAATTTATACGTGATACGTCAAATCCAATTCCTTCTCTATTAGATCTTGTTAAATAAATATTTAATATCGGTACGTAAATAATAATAATAATAATAATAATAATTGTTGGAACCAATTTTTTTTTATATTAAATTTAAGTGAACGTTTCGTTGAATTTTTATTCCCTATAAAATGTATATAAATTTTATTATTATAGAAAAGAAATTTTGTGTAAAATTTTTTATTTAAATCGTCTTATTTATCATAATTAATAAAGCCTAAAGGGTAAAATATATTAGAATTTATCTTTAAGTTGTTAAGGGTTTCTTTTTTTTACTACTAACAAACAATTCCGACAAACAAACACAACAAAGGAAAAAAATTTAATAATATTATAAATATAGTTTAATAAAAAAATTTGAAATTTTTTGTACTCGAATAATTTTCGTTAAATTTTTTATTATTTTTTTGTAATATTGTATTTAAAAAAAAAATTTTTATAATAATCAGGGAGAAGAGAAAAAAAAAAAAGAAATCACATGACAGAAACTCGATTCAATTGATGAAACGGTTGAAATAATTTCGAATCATCAGTCATCAAAGCTTCAGCTAAATATTCGAATATTTTTTGCGGAAGATGTAAGTTTTCTAATAATTCAATACTTTTAACTCTTTTAACAATAATGTTTCTACATCTATCTTGTAAATTGACAAATTCTCTTCTTTGCTCATTTAATATCATTTCCGTTTTTGCCGCCGTCGAACAAACAAACGGATATAATGGTTCCGTACATTTATGCAATCCTCTAAAAGCTACACCCAAATTTTGACCGTCTTTGTAATAGGTGAGAGTTCCGGCTACTCCATCGAAAAGTATACCTAAGCAATCGTATAAAATAATATTTTTAAAAAAAAATTTTCCCGTTAGTATTATCGATCGTTTTGTTTAATATAATTTACCTATCGTTGTGGGTTCGTTTTCTCTGAAGGGTTTTGTAAAAGGGGACCATTTTCCTCCGTGCCAAAGAAGTCCTTTATGTGATAAACCCCAACCCTG